AAAAGCCCCTCTCCAGCTTTCCTGTAACCCCCTTTAGGTACTGGAAGGCTGCTATAAGGTCATCCCAGAGCCTTCTCTTCTCCAGGCTGAACAGCCCCAACTCTCTCAGCCTGTCTTCGTAGCAGAGGTGCTCCAGCCCTCGGAGCATCTTCGTGGCCTCCTCTGGACTCATTCCAGTAGCTCCATGTCCTTCTTGTGTTGGGGACTCCAGAGCTGAACACAGTATTCCAGGTGGGGTCGCACGAGAGTTGAGTAGAGGGGCAGAATCACTTCCCTTGACCTGCTGGCCACCCTCCTTTGGATGCAGCCCAGGACACAGTTGGCTTTCTGGGCTGCCAGTGCACATTGCCGGCTCATGTTGAGCTTCTCATCCACCAGCACTCCCAAGTCCTTTTCCTCAGGGCTGCTCTCAATCCATTCTCCGCCCAGCCTGAACCTTGTCGCTCGGTTCTGTTTTGTCTTGGCTCCTTCTCCCCCCGGTGCCAAACGCCCGCCACAGCGGCTCCGCATGTGAGGCGCTCCCAGGGGCTCGTCCCACAGGTTTGGGCTCTGTTTCTCTGCACGGCCCTGGTTGTGCATGGAGCACCTTGGAGCTGCGCACCGTCTCCGGCACACGGAACAGCCCAGAGCTGTCATGCAGGGACTGATGCACAAGGATGTGGACGCGCGGTTTTTGCGTTTGTGGTCAGGGGCTGTTCTGGTAAGAGTTCTGTCTGTTCCTGAATCCTGCTCTGGTCTAACGTGCTCTTTCTGCTGTTAGATTGTCCAGAAGGAGGAAGAGCAGTCTCAAACCAGTACCCTCCATGCGGTGTTCTCAACGGCTCCGAAATAAAGAAAACCTGGAGCTGATCAGGGCTGAGGTCAAACAAGTCTCTCCACCTCAGCGCGTGACAAGGTCCCAGGCTGCAATATCTGCTAAAAGCTCAGAGATCCTCCCGGAGACCCTTCCTGTCCAGCAAGCAGGAGAGAAGAGCCCCTTAGTAGAAGCTGATGTCAGCGATCACATCAGCACCGAGCTGCACCTCCAGAAGAGCACATCTGAACCAGCAGAGAAGCTCTCCACCACTGTTCTCTTGAGCTCAGGTGATGGTTCTCCCAAGGAAAACCGGGTGGCCAAATCGCCGCCGGTGCCTGCAGCCTCGGAGCTGATGGTCCCTCGTACCCCCGAGGCAGACGCTGCAGGAGATGTCGAGGCTGTGTCTAACCCGAAGGCAGCGAATACTACAGTCGTTTTAAGCGAGGAGCTGAGGCTGGAGGAGGTGGATGACTCTGCTGAGGTACAAGAGAGGTCGGATGAGCAGCCTTCCGGGCGTGTAAGGGATAGCCCAGGGACTCCGACGGGCTCCCGGCTGAGCCGCCGCTCCGTGCGCAGAAGTCTGATGGGCAGAACCTCCCTGACTCGCAGAACCTCCTTGGCAGAGAAATACTCGCTAGCCAGCAAGAGGGAAAGCATGATCCGGAAATCCATCACCAGGACCATGGTCAAGAGGAAGGCCGCCCGAAAGTCATCCATGTCCTGCAGTCGCATGGACGGTAAGTTTGCGTGTTCTTGGCGCCGTTCCTGCCCTTTTTGCTGGTGATCTGCATTGTGCTGCTGAGGGGACACCATGCCGTGGGGCTCGTCCTGCAGTTCGGGTGTAGCAGCTGATCCTGGCCTGGACCAGCTGTGATTGAGGGTGGATGTTCTAACAGGCTTGCTGGAGACCTGTGAGAGTAGAGAAACCCGTGACCTATGAATTCAGCCTCCCAGGTCAACTGGGACAGCAGCCCTGATGTCTTCTGAGTTTCTGCAGGGGAGGCTTGCAAAGCTGAGCAGGACGGTGGCCAACGGGCTTTGCTGCTGCTGGTGGCTGCTCAAGAGGGGTATGGGCTCTCCCACAGGCTGTGTGTTTTCTGGGAAGTAAGGGAGCTGTCACAAATTCCCTGCTCTTTAAGCTGAATCTGGCTGCTGGTTCTAGAGCTTCTCTGTTCAGAAGGGGATTTTGAGGCTGAACTTTGTAAATTTATTACAAGTCTTCCAAACTCTTACAGTTTGCAGTTGAGGCAGGTTTCAGGGAAGGACAAACTGATTTAAATGTTCTTCCGTGCTACTGGAACGCGGGCATTGGGTTTAGCGCAGGGGGACAAAGCGATGGATATAACCTCCCTTCTTTTTCAAGCTGAGGGAAAGAAGTGGCTGGCAGGTGGTAGGGTAGTCAACAGCTCCTGGAAAGCAGGTCATGCAAGAGAAGCTCTTCCCTGCAATTTGGTGTTGAGGAGGGCTTGGCCCTTCTGCACGGCGTACTTCTGTGTCCGACGGGACAACGAACGCAGCTGAACCGACGTTAATGTGTTCGTCTGCAGCGTTCTAACAGGGTGGGGTTTGTGCTGTACAACACTGACTTTTCCTGAAGAGTTATCCTGGTTTTGCTCTAGCAGAATATGTTTGGAGAAGTGCTTTAGTGGGATTTTTCCGTAGCAATTTAACTGTTCTCGTTGAATGTTTTTCCAGGAGCAGAGCACTGCAGTCCCCAGCTCAGGGTCTCCTGTACTGGTAACAGTAGGGAGGCGTGCTGGGGAAGGTTCTAAGCGTGGTGCCGAGGGCTTCCTCAGTAAAAAATGAAACCATAAGGAAGTCTCCTCATCCTCAGTCATTTTGAGGAGGCGATGAAGGCGCTTTATCTACCCAGATGAAACGATCAGTCTGTGGTGTCAGGATCTGGGTTGCCTGGGAGGTGTAAGGAAGGCTTTATTTCTTCCCTCCGCACTGCTCGGCGTGACTGTTCTCTTGCCTCCTCGGAGTCTCTGAGCGGAAGATGAGAGAGGAACTGAGATGTTTTGGGCAGCTCCAGCTGAGCTTGTTAATCCTTGAAAGCCCTAAGAGCCCTAATTGACTGCAGACCGTGTCCGGTGCATCGGATCTCGCACCGGATACGCGCGCAGCACGTGCGCTTGTGCTTCCTTCGGTAACATCCGTGGTGGGAGCACGGGAGCAGGCTGCCCGCGTGTGTCGACCGTGCCAAGTGTGCTGCACCCGGGCTGGAGCTGCATCGCCTTCTTAATTATTAACAGCAGCTTCCTGCTGGGCTGGTGCTTAAAAGCTCCCGTGGAGCCAGCGGGAACGCTGAGCAGGAAGCAGCACTCGGACCATAAATAACGCTGGGTTTAGCTGCTGCTAATGTCTGGCCGGGCCCTGCAAAACGCTGCTCTTAACGTGAGCTCATTGAGTCACTTGGGACTCATCTGTTGTTGAAGAAATCTGCTTTCTTGCGTTGAAGTTGCAGGCAGCGCTTGCTCCGGCGCTCCCTGGGCGCGTTCAGCGGCCCTTCTTGTAGCGGCACGCGGCCGGAGCGCTGGCAGCGGCCCGGGAGGCAGTGCCAAGGGAACTTCCCTCCCACAAAGAACCTTGTTCTGCGCCTGTACCTTACAGCTCTGTCGTTTTTGTTCTGTCCCTGCAGTCTCCAGCTCTGGAGAGATGCCAGAAGACGAAGAAACAGTTGTCAAATCTGGGTGAGACTGCTTTAAGATGTTTCTTTCTCCTTACTGTCCTTTCCAGCCACGTCCTTCGTATAAAATGCACTGCTTGCAGATAACAAGTGGCTTCCCAGTTTCCTCGATCCTATTCAACACAGCTGCCTTCTTTCTTTCTTTTCTTTTTCCTAGGCCTCCTCCCGGACCTTGTACCCCCTCCAAGTTGGTAAGATTTGTGCAGAGATTAGAAGCATTTCTGTGGTGTGGACTCGTGAGCAAAACGTGTGGAATGCACCTCTTGTTTGCTCTGGGGGAACCGGGAGCTCCGGCTGCAGATCACCAGACTCTGTCAACTGGAGTTGGATATGGCACTTGGATAGAGAAGGCACAGAGCACTCGGTGTGCATGTGTGAGCCTATCCACAGCCTCCCTGGTTCCGAAATACAGGGATAGAGAAGGCACAGAGCACTCGGTGTGCATGTGTGAGCCTATCCACAGCCTCCCTGGTTCTGAAATACAGGGATAGAGAAGGCACAGAGCACTCGGTGTGCCTGAACCTGTCCACAGCCTCCCTGGCTCCGATACGCAGACTGGAGAAAGTCTCACATTGTCCAGTCTGTTTTAATCACAATGTTCCAAAATCAGCAAAACAAAATCCCATAAAGTTTCATTTGGAAAATGAGTGTGTGACTCAAGGCTTGCTCTGGACGCCAGCAGAGGTGTTCTGTCGGCACGGTGCTAACATCTCAGGAGCTTTCCAGGGCTGGCTGCGACTGGAAAATCGCGTTGTCTCTGTCACTTTGCGTAAATAGATCTAAATGTAAAAGACGGGTTGACGCACACCAGTGCCGAGCGCCGGCCTTGGTGTTGCTGGCATCCGGAGCCAAGCCCTGCCTCTGGCTCTTGCTAGAGACCAGCTGTATGAAAATCCAATCCTGAATCTATGCAGATACATAACCTGATAATTCCGGACAGTTTTTTCAGTCGGACAGCGCTCGTACACTGCTACTATTTCTGTATTTTTAAAGCTGCTGTTGGCCTTTTCCTTAGTCTTGCAGATGATTCAAAGCGTGTCAGTTTGGCTTAAGACAACCACAGAAATTCGTAAATATCATTCAGGTCAAAACACATCCCTCCGCAATTCTCGCTGCCCTCCCGAGGAAGAAATCCCGGGATTATGTCGGTGTTTTGTCCGGAATGATTTTCCCTAAGCAGAGACTGAATGAACGGAGCGGAGCTCCGTAGCCTGCGGCGCTCTGCGAGCAGGGACAGGTTAACGCTCTTACGGCTGTGCTTGTCAGGAGGTCTGCAGAAGTTCAAAGAATTTTTCCAGCACCTCTGGATTTTGAGCTTGCCCAAGTTACAACTGGAGAAAAGCTTAGAGGGAAAATGGGGAGAAGAGGAAAAATTAATACTGCTTCGCAGATCTGTGAATAGAGGACTCGTATCTTTTCCTTCCGTACCCTGATGGATTTATAAATGCAGTCTAGTCCATGCAGTGTGTTGGATCTATCCCTGATCCTTGTATTTTATTCCTACACCACTGCTGGTGGGAGGGGGACCTCGTAGCCGGTCCCATTCTTAGCCGATGTCTCGGGGTTACCTTACCCTATTGCTCTGTCCATCCCTCAGCAGTTTTCTTGGCAAACCGAAGGTGGTTTGGTTTCTGCCAGAGAATTCCTTGGGGAATTCAGCAGTGGGAAAACGCGGCGACCCGGCAGCCTTCTCAAACCAGAAAACATCCTTGTCTGTAGGAACATGTACAGACAGTACCTGCGTGTGTGCTGTTAGCGACAGGTCAGGTTCTTCTTGGGCCTGATCTTGAATTAACTGGATCTGTGTCCTCCTGTTGGGCTACCGGATGCTTCCTATACCGAGCCTTAGGGTGAGCCCTACGGAAGCTTTTGGGGAGGATAAAGCTTCCACTTTCCTTTGTTCTTCTCTTCCCACCGCCTTTGTGTCTGCATGCCGGCCAGCGTAGGTTCAGGGAGCGCAGCTAATGCTTGCCTTGCTAGCAGAGAGCAGGTTTCCAAGGCCATTGCCTGCTCTCACCGGCGTATAAAACCGTGATCACAGCAGAATTTGGAATCAGGGTAAGTGCAAAGGCGGCGGATAGCATGGCATAGCGCATCCCTGGCAGGAACGGAGGACTCCGGGAGATGGGCTGTTGGGCTGTGCTGTCTCCCTGTCTCTCCATTAATCAGGGCTGAGTAAAATGAGCGCTGCCTGGCTCTCTGCCAGAGCTCCCGCAAGCACCAACAAGATTTCCAACCCGGAATGCTTTCCTCCTTAATAGTTCATGAGTTTGCTCAGGTTAAGCAGTCAATCTCTCACTGCGGATGCGTCTGTTCTGTTAACATCTGTGCTTCCAGCGTTGACATGACATGAAGGAATTCACCAGGATGTTGCCCCGAGGTACTTTTCACAGCTGAAGGTTAGGGCTTCGCTCCGGGTACCAGCACCAGTGCTTCGTACTGTGCGTGCGGTGTCGCGGTCTCTGGGAATGCGACAGTGTCCCTGTCAGAGTGGCATCATGATTTGAAACCGTAATGGGCTGTTGCTGTGGGAGAGTGGTGCTGAAACCAGTTTGCTTTTCCTACAGAATCTCCCAAGTCCACGGATGTCACTTCGCTCTCGAACCGTCAGCAGAGACGAGCGGCCGCCGCGGACGAGCAGCGACGGTAACTTCCGTGGGATTTCCGTGGCTGAAGTTTAAAAAGTCACCACTTGGTTTGAAAAGATTGGCCAGTTAAACTGGGAGCACGCTTTGAAAGGCCAGTCTTTGACAAGCGAGGATTTGCTTCAAGAGACTGGCAGTTAGGGAATCCTGCGCTGGGGCTGTTCTCCGCCTTGGGAAGCGCGCGGACCTGCGGACGGAGGGATGTGTGTTCCCCGGGCTGTGGGAGGCCCAGCTGAACTCCGTTTCCGAAGCCGTTGCTCCGTGCCGGTGCGGAACACAACGGAATTGCATTAGTGCAGGCTGCTGCGGGCAGCTTTGCTCTGTTTTGTGTTCTGGGTGTGCCTGGCGCGGCGCGGTTCCTGCCTGAAGGCCGGAAAGGTCTTGCTGTCCGTAATTCATGCCGGGTGTTTTTCCCATCTAGTGAGCTGCTAGATCTGCTCTCTGCTTTCAGAGCTGCGTTGGGAGGGATTTTTTACTGCTAGAACTAACTGTGTGACTATGTTTTCTTTCAGAAGCCAACTTGAATAAGAACGAGGAGACCCGGGAACCCCCCCAGAGCGCCAGGTATGCTCGTGGAATCATTCTGGTTGGAAGGTGCCTCTGGAGATGCGTAGTCCTGTTCAAAGCAGGTTCAGTGCTGAAACGTTGTTAAATGGCTTCACTGTTTTGTGACTGTGAAACTTTTGCAATAAGTTTTCTCTGCCTCTATGAAAAGAGGATTTCATTTGTATCTTCTAGCACGTCAGAATTTGTTAATTGGATATCTACTTGTGCACGTCCAATGACGCGTCTTTTAAGCAAGGATAGTTTTGTGACTTTTTTTCCAACCCGGCTTTGGGACAATCAGGAGGATTTGCCATGTCTGACGGACTGTATTTTTCTCCCAGGAGAAAGCCAAGTTACAAAAGAGCTGTGGACGATCGCTATGACCATCAGCAAGCCGCAGATGGAGGGCTTTCTCCTCCGAGGAGAAAGACCCCATCCCCTTCCTTTCCAGCCAGCAAAGTAAGAGCCTCGTAACTCTGACGTACTCCCCCAGACCTGTTGCTTACTCACGTTCCTGAGGATTGCTTTTTGGCATCCCTTCTCATAGGTTGTACGTCCTTTCAAAACGTTCTTGCACACCGTGCAGAAGAACCAGCTCCTCATGACACCAAGCTCCGTGGGGAGAAATGGAGTCATAAAATCTTTCATCAGGTACAACACTCCTCTCCAGTCTGATCCCAAGGTAAGGCGAGACTCTTGTCAGCTGGCACGTCATGGTCTGATGAGGGTCTAAGCTAAAGCACAAACGGGAAAGAGACTTTTCAACCCACCCTAAACTCAGAAGTAACTTGAACTGTTTGCACTTACATAAACTAAGAAAGATTGTGATGAGTGGGCTTCCTGAAGAGTTCTAATTTGGACTCTAAGCTTTGCTACTGTAGCATTCCCCTGTGGTATTAGCGAGTAACAGTTGGGAATGAAAACTGGGAAATGAGGATCAAGTTGATCCTGAATACTGCAGTTGAGGTGTACGTGTAACCGAAGTCTGCACTTCCAGTCTCCTTTCTCGGACTTTTCTAATGAGTGAGGTCTGAACAAATGCCTCTTAAATCCAGGCTTCTGATGCTCTGAGGTTTTTCAGACCTTTGACGGAGGAACATGAGCCTGTCCTGAACAGGAGCCTGCTGGTTGGGTGAGACACGTGTGCCACTGTGCAAACCTGACAGGCAGCAGCATCAGTGTGGTGTAATTGTGCGACCAGCACAGACAAACAACGCGCCTTTGCTGTCTGCAGGCAGGTGCCTCTGCCTCTGCAACACTGCTGTGAATTTGCAGCGTCACAGGGAAGCACCTGTAATCCAGACAGAGTAGCTGTTTGGCTGGATGGGATTTGGGAAGATCTGGTTGTAGGTTTCCAAAGGGAGTTGGTTTCCCCTGTGTTCTGCTTACACAGGACGGTTTGGTCATAAGTCACGATCATTTAGTTACCTGGGCTGGACTTGCAGTAGGAATCATCACTGATGGGCAGCCCTCACTCTTACCTGATCTGCGTTTAGATTTTGTATTTACCTCAGAAGAGAAGTTGATGTTCAAGGAAAAGCAGGTTTCAGTCTGTGCTGTAGCTCCTGTTCCACAACAGCTCTGGCAGTGCCAGGCAAGTCCCAGGGTGTCCTTCACGGATGCAACTAGGGACGTGCTAGAAGCGGGCACGCTGGGCGCAGATTGCTCATACTTACACCCAGCAACTTGCCTGCAAAACAAGGTAGTTCCAGGGCTTGTTTTCACTCGCAGGAGAGCTGGGGAGGAAGAGGAGGGCGCACTGCAGAAGGTGGTTTTCCTGCATCTAGCTTACATCTGGCAGCCTGATACCAGAACTTTTGTACTGCTTAAAGCTGTCACGGCGGTACTGCTCAGAGTCTTGCTGCACTCCAGCAGATACGAGAAGCCTGTCATTAGGAAGCGGTGAAGGACTTGAGCTTCAGTCTAAAAAAATGCTGACGTCGGTGTCTGTGTTGGCAAAGGAGCTGATATGATGAGAAAAATCTTCTGACTGGTGCATCCTTTGTCGCTGTCAGTTCGCTGAAGGTTTTATTTCAGGTTTCGTTCCAGTGCAGGCAGCTTCCCCTCAGGACTTTTGCTGTTTGGGGGCTAAACAGAGCTAAATAGCAACAGAGCAACAAGATACAATCATTAGCTTTAAATTAGCCAGTTTGGACACCAGTAACACCAGTCATTTACAGCATGGAGCCCAGCATAAGGTGGTCACTTGAATATCTCACTGTGCTTACCACTGGGTTTGGACTAAGACCAGCCCTGTCATAACTGGACATCTGCAGTATCAAATCTGACATTAAATTAGTTTATCTTCATCTGTTTGCTGTGACCGTAGTGACGACTGGATCTTACTCTTTAATTGACAGTACACTTGGGCCGAGTGAGCTGGACTGTTTGGAGAAATGGGACAAACGCCTTGCGTTTCTGTCTAGATGCCATATGGGGCTGACTGTGTGCCTGAAACAAGCTGCAAGCACTCTGTCTAAATGGTGGTGGTTTGCTGTGAGATAAAGCTTTGTGGGAAGCCGAGACGGCAGCGGGAGCTCCGAGTTGAAGCAAGCGAGGTGTTTCCTGGAGCACCATCTGTCCCCTCCGCTGGCTGCAGGAAGTCAGGATCACTGCCAAGCGTTAGCACTGCTTTTTCGGTTCTTTGTACCGACGTAAATCGCTGTGCTGTCCGTCTGCAAGCGCTGCGGAAGCTGCCTGGGCTTTGGGAGCTGATGCTTCTCTTCCAACTTCCCAGCTTCTCCTCTTGCTCTCTAAGATCAACACCACTGCCTTGTTTTCCATTGCATCTGTTCCCAAACATCCATGACCACGACACAGGCTGCCTGAGCCCTGCTTCAGGCTCGTTACCATCCTTTGGTTCTGGCTGCAGTTCCTCGGTGTTGCCTCTGGGCCCTTACTTCACCTGAGCAGTCTGAGGTAGAAAGAAGCCCCGGCAGGTGGGTCTAACCGTGTTTCAATCCATCTCAGGAAAAGGAGAGACAGAAGCTAGAGACTCTGAGGAAAAAGCAAGAAGCCGAGCAGCTGAGAAAACAAAAACTGGAGGAAGAGAAGAAACGGCGACTAGAAGAGGCAAAGCTGTGAGTATCTGCCTTCTCCCTTGCCTGGTCTGCTCTCTCCGCACCTGTAGGACCCTATATCTAGATCTTTTATCTTGCAGAGCCCATACACGCAGCAAAAATTCTTGTTGGCTTGCTCTCACACCCCAAAGACAGTATTTGTTCTCATAGTATCTATCTAGAATTCTGATTAAAAGTTAAGTGTTGTAGCTGACTGCTGGTTCAGCTCTTGGTCTTCAGTCTTCTGTCTCAGGTGGAGCTTAAAAACATTGCTAATGTTTCAATGAATGGTGCGTTTGGTTCACTGAATTTGGTGTTGCCCAAGAGCTGTGCCTGTTGGCCTTGTGTTTGAGTTGTAAGGAACTCCTCTAGCCGGACTACGCTGACGAGGCTGTGTCCCGCAGGAAGCGTGAGGAGCGCCTGCGCAAAGTGTTGCGAGCTCGGGAACGGGCAGAGCAAATCGAGGAAGAGAGGAAAAGGCGCATTGAGCAGAAGATAGCTCTGTTTGATGAGAAATCCGAGAAGGTAAGACCCAAAATATACCTGTGGAGTTTCTCTGGGGCAGATGATGCCACGTGAGTGTGCCTTCCGGAAAGAGAACTGAGGCTGCTGAAATCTAGAGAGTGAATTGGAGAATGGTTGAATAAATATTATTCAATATTGTTTCTCTTGGTAACAGCAAATGGCAGAAACCCCCCCTTATTTTCCAGAATTATGGATCTAAATGGCCTTTATTAAGGCTCTGTTAGTCAGATGGGAGAAGAGCTTCAGGGAGATAAAGCCAGCCTAATGGCCCTGAGGCTTCATCTGCTTGAAGCTGGTCTCCCATCTGACTAATAGATGCAGAGGTGAAAAGAAACTTACTTCCTCCAGACCCTTCCTTGTATCCGAGACTTCCAAATAATTTGCACGTGTGACCACAGCAGTCGTTTGCCTGCTTTAATTATCTCCATCTGCTTTTCGTATTCCGTGGTTCTGAGAACATATTCCGATGGTTTTTTGTGATATTAAATGTAGAAATACCAGAATAGGGTCAGCTCTTCCTGTGGAGATGTAAAAGAAGGTCATTTCCCTGAATATTACCTTTTTAAAACGAAGCACAGGTCCCGTTGGCTCCGGGTGGCAAAAAGGGAAGCTTTTGCCCCGGGAGAGGGCGAGGGCTCTGCATCTTTGAGACCTACTGCCGTGACGTTTCGCGGGCACAGGGAAGTGTCCCGTCTGAGGCCTGGGAGGTCAGCTAGCCGTGTGTGTCCCAGGTGCGCGAGGAAAGGCTGGCAGAAGAGAAGATCAAAAAGAAAGCTGCTGCCAAGAAAATGGAAGAAGCAGAGGCCCGGCGCAGGCAGGACGAAGAGGCCAGGAAACAAAAAGCACTGCAGCAGGTCCGTGCTGGAGCCCATCCTGTCGTCCTTCGTGCCGTTAGAGTGGCCGCGCTGTGCCGCGGTCGTGGTAAGCGAGGAGCCCGGTGGGAGTCCTCCCGTTAACCAACTGGGTGAGAAGTGGTGTGGCGGAGAGGCTTTGTCCTTCCTGCTGCCTCCTGCAACGTGCTGTAAGCTGTTAGTGGCCGTTGTGACCCGTGTTCCTCCCGTGGAGCTGGACAGATTCTTAGCAAAGACCTTAATCTGTGGATGGGCAAGTATTAAAATCTCCCAGTGAAACCCAGTCTCTTGGGGACGCAGAGCGTGGTGGCCATTCGGCCCCCTGGGGTGTGTTGTGGGCAGGGAAAGGCCAGCACTGAAACAGCTGGAGAGGTGATGCACCTACCTGGAAAGCACTGGGCTGCTGTGTAGTGAGAGGTGCTAGAAATTTGGGTCAGATAAGGTGTTCCTGCTCCTTTATGCTGGAGCCTGTTCCTGTACAACGCGAGGTGAGTAATTGCCTTGTTGGGCTTACCAGGAGGAGGAGGAGGAACGTCGGCACAAAGAGCTGATGCAGAAGAGGAAGGAAGAGGAGCAGGAGCGTGCCAGGAAGATCGCTGAGCAGAGACAGGCAGAACAGGAGAGAGAAAAACAGCTGGCTGCGGAGAGGGAGCTGGAGAGGAAGAAGGAACAGGAGAGGATCCAGGCAGAAAAGTAAGACAATATCCATTTATGTACCAAATTCTGTGCTGGGACTTTGAAAAGAAGTGGGAACAGAGGGCACTAGAGAAAGGCCCAAGGGGTGAAGAGCTACTTTGTGCTGTCAGCACGACTCTGGACCATCACGGGTACTGAGCTGCCGAGAGGGAATTCTGAGCTCAATAATGTAGGAAGCGTGGTGGGGAGCACCCCGAAAAGGTGTGAGAAAGAGGGGTTTGCAGCAGGCACTGGGTGGGAGCGTACCCCTACGTGGCTTTGAGAGAAATGGTCTGTTGCTTTGGTTCTCAGGCTGCGTGAACAGCAGGAGAAGGCTGCTCGCCTGCAGAAGGAAGTGCTGGCTGCCAAAGAACAGCTCCACAAGGAGAAGGAGAAGAAAGAAGTAAGTACTCTCTCCTTGTGGATGGGTAGAGCCACACGGGTCTGACTTCGGGAGCTGCCGCTGTTCGGGGCAGCCAAGCTGGGAAGCCATCAAGAACCTTGATGAGCGAGCTGCTGAGCTTGAGCCACCCCAAGGTGCTTCTACCCAGAGTCCGGCCTGCCCGTGCCGGAAGGTGCCCGTGCTCTTTGGGTGGCAGCAGCGTGAGGAGGAAGGGCAGATAATGCACGAGCTGAAGTGAGGTTTTTGGCTCTTCCCCTTTTCCGTGCCCAGGTGTACCTGTGCTTCTCTTGGTATCAAGCAGTAATTAATCCCAGACTTTTCAGAAGCAACACCTCAATTTTACCTTTGCGCCACCTTCAGCAGAACCACAAGGACAGACCGCAGACTTCGGTCAGGTTCTTTTCTGCAGCAGTCGTGCCAGCACCCATGAGCTAAGCAGGCCTTTCTGCTCGTGGTGCTGAGGAGGGAACTCTGGATGCCTTGGCAGCTTGTTCTGGTGGAATAAAACCCCTGCAGCTGGACAGGCTCAGGTTTTTGCGGAACTTGCAGCACGCGTTTTCCCTGGAGCAGAGAGAAAGCCCACAGGTGTTGCTCAGGGAGCTGTTGGAATGTCCCTTCTGGAGGATTTGCACACAGTGATTGCTGGGAATTGGCAGCAAACCCTTTGCTGTTCGGACTGTTGCTTTTTTGGTTTATGTAAGATCTGGGAGAACTTGCACGTTCAGGACGGTTTGTGAGAAAGAACGGAAGGCTGGAGTAGCTGGTTGGAAACTGTCCCGTGTTGGCCTGAAGTCGTTGTCGCTCCGCTTGGCAGAGCGGTGGCATGGGCACACTGACAGCAGCTGTCCAGCCACCTTCGGGGAGCCCAGTTCCTCGGTGGGGACCCCAGGAGCCCCTCGCTCTGTCCGTCAGCTTGGCGAAGTTGACCAGCAGCTGGTGACAGACCTTTGCTACGACTGGGTGGCGTTGTCTGACTTGATTTTTAGAGGTCTGCCCGTTGGAGTTAGCAGCCTCCTGATTTCCTTCAGCTGCAGTGGGAAAAACTAAGCATTCCTGGGGTGAGATTCTTTTGATTGGGATGGCTACTGTGCAATGGGACGGCTTGGCCTCTAAAAATACTATTTATTAGTCTAAAAAGAGGATAAGCTCAGTGGCACAGACTTTTCCATCTGCAGATGGTCAGCTGTTTGCTGATGTCCATGTCCTGAAGATAGCCAGTGGCAAGTCTTTCAAAGCCTGGGGCCGTTGTGCTGTCAGAGGACGGCCACTAACGCTCCGAAACGGGAAGGGCAGTTCCTTTGTGCCACGTCGTGGCGCTGCATTCGTGCCCTGCGCCGCGTTCAGAGTGCTCCAGAGCATGGCAGGCAACAGAGCCTTGCCATTAGGTGCTCAGGCATTTTTTTTTTTTGCGTGTCAAAGAAAGGGGTCCCTGGGTGAACGGCGCAGCCTAGTTGGTAAGATTAATTTCTTTGTGAATTCATTAATTCCTTGCCAGCAGGAAGAACTGAGGCTGGCAGAGATGAAGAGGCAGGAGCAAGACCAGAAGAAGCTGCCAGAGGAACAAAAGGCTGAAGATACAGCCCAGACACAGCACCTAGAAAACAAAGAGGTAACCCTGCTGTCTGGTGAGGCTTCTTTAAGGGGTGACATCAGAGAACTTGGCTGTTACGAGGGGCAGTTTCACCCTCTGCTTTTCATATTCCCTTTCAACAACGAAGGGAATTCTGTACGCCGTTTTCCTGATTATCTGAGGTTGGCTCCTGGTGACCTTGAGCATTTAAATGACTTTTGGGGAGTGAAAAGGAGGGGAGGGAAGCAGCGAGTGTTTGCCAGGAGAAGGCAGTGGCTGTTAAATTGCCTTGCCTTTCCCAAGTCCTCCGTAAATGCGGGCTGCAGCTCACAGGCAGAAGAGAGGCCGAAATGGTGGTGTTCGAGCTCAGAGTTGGAAGGAGCCACCGGATGGCAGCAGATTCTGTGGAATAGTATGGCATTTGGGCCTCGCTGCTGCTGGAAGCTGAGAGAAGCCTGCAGGTGGATGTAGGTGTCTTGAACATGGAAAACAAATTGATGGGACTTTACCTCCTCGCAAAGCTGCATGTTTTAATCTTTAAATGCAAAACCAGTGAAATGGGAGTTAATGGTAATGGACACAAAGCCGTGAAGGCGGCCTCTTATGGGGAAGAAAAACTTTTCCAACTCTCTAGAGAATGTTTCATGGCTGGTGAAATTTGCAGTTTTAAGTTTTTCTTGGTCACTTGCGTTTCTCAGTCATGCTGGTCCCATAAAAACTGCCGTACAGTTTGTTTTGAGCTGTTCTGTGTGTCTTCTCTGCATGGAAATAGTCTGTTTAATGTTATCAAACAAGCCCAGAATTTTGGTTGTGGAGTATTTAAAGCACGTTCCTCAGCTCCAGCTTTGAGGATGTGACAACTCCACGTAAGCCTCGCTTAAACTGAATGGAACTGGTGGATGTGTGCCAGATGCATCTAGTCATACGTAGCCAGTTAAGCAGCCCAATTAAACAGGAGGCAGCAACGCAAAGTCATAATTGGGTTGAAACTTTAGAACTTGGGTCAAGTTCTTAGGTCAAGAATTGCAGCCAAACTTCAGGTTTTGCAATTATGGGATAAAGCGAGAGGTGGAACATTGAGGTGTTCCAGTCAAGCGTCTCGCGCAGCTGGAAGTGTGGCAGTGCCGTTGCATCTAACGCCTCTGGAATGTATTTGCCTTCTAGAATTCACCCGCCTGCAATTCCTACCAGATGACTCCGCAGGGCCCCAAGGATCCAAAGCCCCCCACGATAAGCACAAACAACTACGGAATGGATCTGAACAGCGACGACTCTACCGATGACGAAAGCCAGCCTCGCAAGCCCATCCCCGCCTGGGCCACTGGTACGTGTCAGCAGACTCAAACCTTCCCGAGATGCCCCAACAAACACTACTGCAGCTTCGCTCCAACAGATAGTAAGACCTGGTGTAAGGTTTTGCCCAGTTCCTCCTCCTTGCATGCTGCAGTAGATGTACTAATCTCCTGCAGCATGGCTGGAGTGCTGAGTCAAGGGCTCCTCTGACACTTGGGGATCAACTTGTGACAACGTTGGGGAGCAAATCCTCTTTTAAACTGCCTTAACGCAGCTGCTACTGTTGTTCTACCAACGTGAACGCAATAATTGTGAAATAGTGCTCTGGCCTCGAGCCTGCTTGGTGTTGATTTGGCTTTAAAAAGCAAAGTAATGCCAGATGTCACGGACCAGGTTCCAGACCGGCGGCTGTTCTGATTCTGAAATGCTCAGTTGCATGATTTCGTATCCCACCTGCTTCAGGGGAGCTAAGAAATTCCGGGGAAACTAATAGTAACTGCGGGAAGAAAAGCTGAGAAACCTTGCCTCTTGCAAATTTATTCTGGTTCCCGGACAGTACACGCAATGTTTGCCCTCCAAATGATCCGTGCTGAAGCTTTAGGCATAAACAAGGTGCTTGAGAAGGTTAAATACTGCAGGATTGCTCCTGTTTGCCATCTCGACGTGATTAGAGATGAGGAGAGCGGGGGCACGTTGCGTACCAACAGCCTACGCGGCAATTTCAATTAAAAAAAATTAATGGAAATGTAATCTGGTGTTTCTGCAGGGAATCAGCTTAGCCAAGCTGTCATCCGCCAGTACTACAACCCGCCCAACGTCGACGCGCTCTTCGGGGCCATCGCCAGCCCCAAGCTGGAGGACATCTTCTACAAAAGCAAACCGCGCTACTTCAAGCGCACGAGCTCTGCGGCGTGGAACTCCCCGCCCTTCCCGGGCGCCAAAGCGGTTCTGGGGCTGCCCTACGGCCTGAAGAAGTACTGAGGTGGGCAGCGGCTGCACCTTTCTGTCTCTCCAGGTGAGAAGAGTTCCTGCTCAGTATCTGTAAATCTTTAGGTATTAGCGTGGAATAAATGTCAGCTCTTACTGGGCCTCTTGCATTTCCTGCTTTTGGGGCTTGTTTCCACACTGTTAGGCAAAACAGCAAGCTTCTGGGAGACGCCGCCTCGGAAAGACGCGTCTCCTCTTACCCTTAGCTTTGAGCCAGCAAAGATTTAGCCCTTTAGGTCATGAGAGTGCACCACCTACAGCTACGTGATGCTCCCCTCTCCAGCCCAGCAGGCCTGGGGGGTGGCTGCCAGCAGCAGATGGAATTGTCTGTGCCAGCCCTGCCCACCTCGGCGCTGAAGCCACGGTGCTCCTCCAGCCGAGGACCGTGCACACAGCTTGGGGAGAACCCAAACGTGCGCTGCTGATCTTCTCCAGAAGCAGGAGGTCAGCAGGGGTGGTCTTCATCGTCACCCGCAAAGGGCAAAATGATTTCAGCGTTCCGTTTCCCTGTAACACGCTTCCTGCCACCACCGAGTGCCATTGTGTGGGTGAGATGGGTTGGTGCCCAGGTTACTACAGCTCGGGCTGGAACGCCCCGAGGGTTTCGCTGACCTTCCTTCCTTGTTCTCCGTGTAACTGAGTCCAGGAGCACCCAGAGGAGCGTGCGCGGGCTGCGTCCTTCTGGGCGGCCTTAAGAGATACTGTACAAAGGTTCTGAAATGATTTTGTTCCTCTGATTTAAATTCCATGCCTGCGGCACAGATGGGATTGGAAGAATGAGTTTAACCTTAATCTCCTTCCCTTTTCTCCTCTTGGCTGTTTGATCTGTTCAGCATCAAAGCTGGTTTTATTTCGTGGCCTGTTTATTTCGTGGCCTCATGTTCAATAAGGCAGCGCCCGACGGGCTGTTATCAGAACAACGTCCTCTTAGCAGCAAAATATCAGCTGGGAATTCCCGTTCCAAGAACACCTGGCGTTTGGTCACTCTTTCTCCCCCAAACGGCACAGACACCGGCGTGTTCTCGGTAACGAGCTCCTGCGCAGGGAGAGCGCAGGTCTCAGTGGAACGGAACTTACTGGAAGCTTGGAAAGGAGACAGTGACGTGAGTTTTCTGCAGGTTTGTCTTCTGCAAAGCAGGTGACCTGCATGGTCCTCACCCCGGAGCTGTCTTTTTCCGGCGGCTCGGTTCGTTCTAAAGCCGGGCGGGTGTTGGTTGGTGCCGCTTCGCTGCGCGGAACAGCGTTTCTGTGTACGTCCAGCTCGGTCCTTCGCAACCACGGAGGCAACGCTGCGTCGGGAGACTCGTGCCCGTCCTTGTGCGTCTGGCTCGTGAGCTGTTCCCAGGTGAACGGCGCGGGGTCTCGCGTTGTGGACGGCATCCGCTGCCGCGTGCTCTGCTGCCGACGGGTGTTTGCGCCTGACGGACGCGCTGTACGTCGAGTTTTGTATCTTGGAGTGAGCGTAACCTCTTTGTAAGGAAGCCGAAATGGCAAAAACTTGGATGTTGAATGCTGTTTGAATGCCTGACAGTTTGATAAAAGTGAGTTCAATCATCTCCTCTGGGCTTCTCTTCTGGACTCATTATAGCTTTTTATGAGAAAAATCCACAGTGTGTTGGAATGTCTCTTTTTGGGTGACTTTTTGCGCTGTTTCCTTAGGAATGTTCTGTCTGGGAAGAACTTCGTGACTCCTGCTACAGGAGAAATCCCTTTGGTAACCCTGCAGCACTTGCTGAGTAGTTTTACTGCCTTCTTTTGTTTCTGGAAGTTGGAATAGGGACAGTTTGGCATGATGAGACATTCCCTGAAGTCTGCTGAGGAATACATGACTTGAATTCATCCTGAACTAACCTACATCCCTATAATTCACTACTCGAGTAACTCCAGAAAATACCCAGGGCTGCTGCCACCAGATGGAGCAGGAACTTCAGCCACAGTGTACCACTGGAGCTCTGCTACTTAAAAACACACAAAAAGCCACAAGTAGAAATCCCAGGAAATTAGAGCCTCAAGGTTTTAAGAAAGATATTTTCACGCTTGATTTCAGGTATTTCTCTAAATTTGCATTCCT